CTAGAACTGGGGTTCTGAAACTGGGGTTCTGAAACTGGGGTCCTGAAACTGTGGTCCTACAACTGGGGTCCTGAAACTGGGGTTCTGAAACTGGGGTCCTGAAACTGGGGTTCTGAAACTGGGGTTCTGAAACTGGGGTCCTGAAACTGGGGTCCTGAAACTGTGGTCCTAGAACTGGGGTCCTGAAACTGGGGTTCTGAAACTGGGGTTCTGAAACTGGGGTTCTGAAACTGGGGTCCTGAAACTGTGGTCCTAGAAATGGGGTCCTGAAACTGGGGTCCTGAAACTATTATACGATAGAGGGCGCTGTTACACGTCTTCAGATAGACTACTGAATCTCCGGGTCCAAAAAAAATTGGAGAAAATGATCTGAATAAACTAGAAGGAGCTGATAGAAGATGTTTATGCACAATTATGATCATCAAACATTCAACAGCAAATCAAAACTGCCTATTGATCCCGAGGAAGAGCTGACGACTGTGAAGCTTTGGGGGAGTTGATGGACTTCATCTACTTGATTTGATCATCGTTCTGACATTTCAGTGTTGATTCAAAAGAATAAAGCTAGAATACAAATAGCAGAGCCTCTGTTCTTTCTTTTGATAAATTGTATGCTTACATATTCATACAACAAAATATTGTGAACGTTTTGTGAATATGATTAAAAAGGCTGGGAACTTTAAACTAAAACGCTGGCAGGGAAAGTTAGTTGCAATGCATTCTGGGATTGAAGGATAAAAACAGAATTTGGTTAAAGCAGGGAGCTTTAGAGATATTAATGTGGAACAGAGCTGGTGTTGGGAGAGCATTAAAATGCAGTTTTGGTAGGCAGCTCAATATGTTTTGGAAAAGCAAGCGTGTTATTGTCAGTATCGGCAAAGTGAACCTATGTATGATATAATGTATAATTCAACTGGTTTGTGGATGTTGCTACTAATTAGTCTGATTGATTGAACAGGATCTTTGGGAGAGTAGCTGCAATGTGTGTGTGTGTTGCTGTAAAGTTGTACAAAACCCCCAAATACAAATATTTCTAGAAGAATTGAATTTGTTCACATGATGCTGGGGGAATTCACACTCCAGACCTCCCACTGCGGAGGCTTACAAAGCACAACAATACACACAATCAATGGTTCACGCAGACTAAAGAAGAGCCGGGAAGCATGGGAACACACTCACCTGTAGACTATCAGTGTGGAAAGAGATCCGGACAGAAATGGAGGCTGTTTTCTTAAAGGAGAACTCCGGCGCAAAATGAACCTTTGGTCTAATTACACATTGTTACCTAGTCAACCGTTATCTGAGATTTGTTTTCATGATTGCCGAATGTAAATAGTTTTATCTCTAAAAACAGTTTAGCCTATAACGCTAGTATAACGCTAGTATATAGGGCATAGAGTAATGACAAATAAAAATCGCTTGTTATTACCACTAACAAGGCTCAAAATAGCCCCACAGTAACACGGTAGCATAATAAGGGTCCCTACATTTAAACCGAAGCATTGAGAACTTTGTCAGTGTCCATACAGTTTAACCCCCTGAGCCCGACGGCGTCGTCGACGATGCCACACGTCACCTCCGATAAATGTTTACATAACTCGATGACAGATTTATCGATTTTCTTACCGTTTTTTCCAGCAGAAAGCTAACGAGCTAGCCATCACGGGGGTGTCTTTCGGGTCTTTCTAGCCTTTACAGAAGGTTTTCTATCCAGCCTGGAACTTGTGCTTCCTTTCAGAGGTTTTCAGCAATAAATCCAAACGCTTTATGTCAAACTTTGATAATCTTGAAGCCCATAATTCATAAATATTCGGTCATTTTTGCCGCTAGCTCGATGCTAGCGGACATCCTGGATATCACGTGATGTTTTCACGTGATGGTTTTTGACCAATTACAGGCTGATCCGTTGTAAACATTGGTGTGCGTCATTACGCATGAACCAAGCGCTGATATAGTGTAGAGAGATAGAGAGACTCACGGAGACGCGCGATTCACAGAGAAACACAGCGAAATGGACGTAAATAAAGCGCTGGTCTATTTTGGTGCATTGCAGGATGATGGATTTTCAGGAGAACAGAGCTTTTTGACAGATGAGGAACTAGATTACCAGGATAGACCCAGCTGAAGTGCCATTTATTTATTTACTGTAAAAAAGTATTATAGTAGTATAAATGTTATAAAAGAATAAAAAGAACATAATAAATAAAAGAATAAAAAAAATAGAAATACAAAACCTGTGATGTGGCCCTCTGTGTGATTGCTGATAGGAACTGTTTTGAGGCTTGGCACCAGTGAATTTCATGAGGCCCCAAACGCCTGGACTTCTTTTGGAAAAATGTCAATATTTTTTGTTCTGTACAAGTTATAATGTTTATTCCTGTGCTCCAGGACTCCAAAGACATGAACAAACTATTTTCCAGAGGAAAATTGCTTAGCTTTTATTTATTTGTGTGTGATTTCAATAAATAATTGAGTGATTCCATTTCCGATTTATTTTTTCATTTGTCTTTATGGTCCCATAACTTATTTTACATTCAGGTGACATCAATGTAACACAAATATGCTGAAAGTTCAATTTGTCCTGAAAAAAAAGAGGTGTGTCAATTGTCTGTGCACCAAAGGGTTGATATTTTACAAGCTTTTTTAGTAAATGACACCAGACGGAAAATTTATTGTAAAAATACCCTTAGGTCTCAGAGGGTTAATAAGAAGATATTTTATACACACAGTCAACTTCGCGAATACAGGAAGAAGCCATCTTGGAAAAATAGTCTCTACCAGTCGATCTACGAACGCCGATCCAAGTGTGCTGGTGAGATGTGAATAAGGTGATAAGGTGAGTGCGAACAGTAGTCTACATGTACATATTGAAGAGAGGAAAACGGTCCGTGTTTGTGTTTCTTCCGGAAACAACGGACCATATGAGATTCTGCACAGTTCAGCGCACTTGGATCGGCGCTCGTAGATCGACTGGTAGAGACTATATTTCAAAGATGGCTTCTTCCTGTATTCGCAAAGTTGACTGTGTGTATAAAATATCTTCTTATTAAACTGTATGGACACTGACAAAGTTCTCAATGCTTCGGTTTGAATGTAGGGACCCTTATTATGCTACCGTGTTAGTGTGGGGCTATTTTGAGCCTTGTTAGTGGTAATAACAAGCGATTTTTATTTGTCATTACTCTATGCCCTATATACTAGCATCATAGGCTAAACTGTTTTTAGAGATAAAACTATTTACATTCGGCAATCATGAAAACAAATCTCAGATAACGGTTGACTAGGTAGCAATGTGTAATTAGACCAAAGGTTCATTTTGCGCCGGCGTTCTCCTTTAAAGAGCACCGTGTGGTTCATTTCACAACGGCTCCTCTGTTCTATTAACATCACAAATGCACTATATATACCACATCATACAATTAGAAATAGATCCACTTCTCCAAAGCTTTATTCTTTATTCAATCCTAAAATCGGAACTAACTAATATCTATTGAAATGAGGCCGTATGATGTGAACTCTTGAGTGTGTGTGTGAGTGTGTGTGTGTGTGTGGCTCAGGCCGGTCTGAACTGTCACAGTTAATCATAATCTTCTCTCTTCTCTCCACACCTGACTGAGTGTGTCTTGCTGTTCCCCTTGCTGGTTTCACCGGCCCACTCGACCCCACCGTCCTGTCAAGGTCAGTCCCTGTACGTCCAGTGTCAAGCACAGCTTTAACAGAGCGCACACTGTTCTCTACCATCCTCTCCTCAGAGACCCCACTGTAGTTTCAGAAGTAACAAACTGAGGTATGACAAGGCAAGATTCAAGATAAAGTTTTTCACAACTTTTGCTGGTAAATGAAACGCCAATGTGCAGTGATTCACAGCAAGCAACACTTACTGTGAAAATAGCACAATGTCCACTCATTTGCATTTAGATTTCCATTGTTAGAAATCCAGTCATATTATTGAATGGTCGTGCAACACTCTCTCATTTTCCCCCGAGACGAGAGAAATCTGATCCTACAATGACACAAAATTGTCATTTTACATCATTGTAGGAGTAAGTGTAAGAGAGGGGGATTTCTATAAAGACTACAAGCACTAGTTCCCACCCTTTTAAACCCGCCCATAGGGGGCTGGACCTAATGTTTAACAGACCTATCACAGATCAGTGCCAGTGCCTATGATTTCACCATGCATGAAATTTTGTACTTTCTAAGGACAAATGCTAGCCTTGCTCTATTCTGTGAGGCGCGTTTGTAACGTCACGTAATACGTAATTACGTTCAAAAGGTCACGGGCGACGTAGCCGGAAGTACAGAATTAAAATCGTCCGACATCGTTGTTTTACCTTTTAATTCCTTTTTTTGTAAACGGCGTTTGAGTCAGTTTGCACGTTCAACCTATGACTCTGTACTTCCGGCTACGTCGCCTGTGACCTTTTGAACGTAATTACGTATTACGTGACGTTACAAACGCGCCTCACAGAATAGAGCAAGGCTAGCATTTGTCCTTAGAAAAGTTACATTTTTGGAATAAGTTTTGAAATAACCGATCGTGTCGCACGATAAGACACTTATTCATCGTCTGGTGTCGTTTAAAGACATTTGAAGCTGCATCTGAAACTGTCTTTTGGACCTTGAACCGTTTGGTTCCCATTGAAGTCCATTACATGGAGAAAAATCCTGGAATGTTTTCATCAAAAACCTTAATTTCTTTTCGACTGAAGAAAGAAAGACGTGGACATCTTGGATGACATGGGGGTGAGTAAATTCTCGGCAAAAGTTTTTTCAAAAGTGAACTAATCCTTTATGCTTTAATTGCATTAATATTTTCATCATTAATGGTTTACCTCATCCACCCCCAATTAATTGGAAAGTTAGTCCAAAGATATAACCACGAACCACGCATCACTAGTGGACAGACACTGAACTTGTCTATGGAAGCTTGTCACATTGCATCTTGTTAGGACGTAGTGTTCGAGTTCAACACAACTGTGCACCGGCGTGTAACTCACTGGTCCGCAGGGCTGATGGCGTGACCTCGATCTCGCTGCTGGTCTGGTAGGGCTGGAAGGCGGACAGGTTGCTGGAGTTGAGCTCGGTCGTGTTGAAGAGTTCGGGACTCTGGGTTCCCGTGGAGCTGGCGCTGGTGCCGTCGCCTCCATGATGAGGATCCTGCTCCTCATACACCACCACCAGCTGAGGGACAGAGAGACAGTATTGTGTTAGTTATGCTGGTTGATCTATTAGGCATTACTATAGGCAAATTAAAAAGCTTGCTTAACCTAAATATCGATGGACAGATCTATCTCATTTACACTGCAGGTCTTGATGCCCAAATCCGATTTTCTGACTTTTTTGACGACCCGCTTACATCATCTTTTAAAAGTCACCCGTATCCGATTTTTGCATTTACATTGTAAAAAAAAAAATATTTTTAAGATTTGTTATCACAACATATTTTCTTTTGTCAAGTCAACTTTATAATAATTTATTTAGTTGAGATAACTTTTTATTTTGAGTTTCTGATGATTAAATTAATCTCCTTCATTTTTCCAGTTCAATCAACTTAAAATTTTAAGGCAACCCAGGTTACTTACTTTTTTAAGTTAAACCAACAATATTTTTTTTTACAGTGTAGTAATCACAACATTTTTTCTTTTGTCAAATCAACTTAAATAATTTATTTAGTTCAGATAACATATAATTTTGAGTTTCTGATGGTTAAATCATTCTCCTTCATTGTATTAACTCACTTTTTCCAGTTCAATGAACTTAAAATTTTAAGGCAACCAGGTTACTTACTTTTTTAAGTTAAACCATCAATATTTTTTTACAGTGTACACTATACACTGCTGAAACTACCAAATGCAGACGTTCTGACCCGGAAAGGGGAGTGAAACGGCACGAAACGCAATGGATGCAGATGCAAATAAAATTATCCAGTGTTTTGCTTTCCACAATATTTTGAAAAGTCATCAAAACATTGGCCTCGTCCCCATATCTCGCGAAATGTCTTCAAACACGGATTTAGTTCTGTAACAACCCTGCATTTTTGCCCGCACTCTTCACCCCAAACACTCAAAACACATGAAACCTCTGCATTGCTCCACTGTGTGTATCCTTCATCCTCCATCACGCCTATAATAAGTCATGTGATCTCAGTTGGTGGTGTCCATCTGAGTTGATGTGACGTACAACTCGCATTTACTGGGGAATATCCGCTTTGTCTGCTTACATGGCACACGCAAACGCACGTATCCGATTCATATCCGATTTATTAGCACATGTGAGTGAAGCCTGAATCCGATCTGAGAAAATCAGAATCCATGTGCTTTTTTACACTCTTAGAAGAAAAGGTTCTATATAGAACCTTAAAAGGTTCTAAAGCTCTACGTATTTGGAACCCCTTAAAATGCAATGCATGAATGATCACAATTCAAGATATGGGGGTTAAAAAATGTAATTAATCAATATCACACGAAGAGTGCCATTTCAATTTTTATCCTTCAAAAAATGTGACATTAAGTTACTACAACAGTTTAATAAACAATAATTTAATTATAACTGCAAAATGTTGTAGAATAATGTAATACATCAATGAATAATTGTCACGATTCCTGTCTTGTCTTGTGTGGACTTAATGCCGCGTTTCAGGCAACCTGTAACTCGTGTTTTTCCAACCTTATACCCGTGAAAGTGCACTGGAACGGCAGTCAAACTCGTGACTTCCCACCCGTGAACTCGTACTAGATCGATGTACTCCCAGTTACGAGTTCTGACGTCACATAGCCCGCGAACCAATGACAGCCCCTACTGATGCAGTGTTTCTGCAGGCGGTCCACGGTGAGAATACACTTTAGGACAATATAACGTCAACTAGTTTTCAGTCCATTGAGTGCAAGGATAAATATATACCAAATACATTTCCAAATATACAAATAAAGTAAAATAAAGAGTATAACAGCTTATCTTGCCTCATGCGCTATTTTTCCTCCTCAGTTTCCCACAAATAAACAAGGAGTGAGCACCTTTGGCGTTAGAAAATATTACAAACGCGCGTGAGCCCCGTAAGGTCCGCCATGCTGGTTTGTTTACATCTAGGTAGTTTGGCGTGAATGACCTGGAATGCTACAAAGTCGTAAGTCGTGGTTTGAAGTCGTGATTTACGTGTTCAAAAACCTGCCTGGAACGCAGCATTAGTTATTTCCTGTTCCGTGCCATGTTTTGTAGTCCTTTGTAGTTTTTCTTGTTGATGAGTTCCCCCAGGTGTTTCTGATTAACCACGCCCCCTTGTTCCCTTGTTTAGCTTGTTTGTCTGTGTATTTAAACCTCTGTTCTTCAGTTGTTGGGTGTCGGTCATTCTGTAACGATGAATCCAAATGCAGTCACTAATTTTAATAATAAAAAATCAAACAAAAGGGTAATCCAAGGAAAACAAAGAAACTCAGAAACAGGAACTCAGAACTCAAAGCTACATTCAAACAACGACCGACACCCAACAACTGAAGCACAGAGGTTTAAATATACACAGACAAACAAGCTAAACAAGGGAACAAGGGGGCGTGGCTAATCAGAAACACCTGGGGGAACTCATCAACAAGAAAAACTACAAAGGACTACAAAACATGGCACGGAACAGGAAATAACTAAAGTCCACACAAGACAAGGCAAACACAAGACAGGAATCGTGACAATAATAGCCTATAAAGAACTTTAGTGCCAACAGGGTTCTTGTCATTATCATCATTTTTTGCATAAAAGGTCATTTGCAGTTGAGTAAAGAACCCTATGCTACATATATAGACCCTTTTTTTCTAAGAGTGTGTGCTTACACGTTAACCGGTCATATCCGATTTGTGCCACATGAGAGGAAAAAATCGGATTGGGGTCACTCGAACCATGCAGTGTTAATGGGGCCCTGTTTACATGTGGTATTAAGATGTGTTTTGATCGATCGGATCGCAAGCGGACGACACTAAATACATGTGTGGTGTAAAACGTTTTGGGCTTGTTCACTTTTGACCGGATTGCTCTCGTAGTGTAAACGCTCATGTGGATGAATGTGTTCAAACAGCCACAAAACACCGTCTGCTCTCCATCTACTGACCTAATGAGGAAACGTTATAGGAATGTACCAAACATAATGTTCTCTCTCCATTCCTGATTTCTAACACACACTCACAGCGTTCGGCTGATCTCGAGACTGTCAGAGCAGAAACTAAAGCCGATGCTGATGTTTTTCCCGTCGTCTCCGGACACGTTCATATAAATTGAGCGAGCTTATTTTGTCCATTAAATCGGAATATTTGAAAAAAAAAAAAACACATATTTCCACCCATAAAAACAAAACAAAATCAGGGCAGAAGTGGATGAAAGTGGACAAAAGAGACACCAGGTGTAAAGAGGGCCATTGATGTATATTACGATGTGATATTACGTGATTGATTTCAGGATTTCTGACCATTTGTCAAACAGTACACACACACAATTTTTATCTTAAATTTTGTTCAGATTTACAAGATAAGAATTGGTTATCCACATTCATGCCTTATCTCTACACTCCTGCTGTGCTGTATGTCAACAGTCTCATTTCTGTCTATTTTTATTTCTCTCATGCAAAATGAAACTCTCCAGAGCTACGAAAGAGCAATACAATATTCCTCTGGGTCGAGAGAAAGTGAGGAATTATGACACACATTTGAAAAGAATGCGTCTGTGCACATGCAACGCTTCGGAGACACACACCCCTGCAACGCTGCAAAGAGGAGCAAATTGCATCGAGGAGGGCAAATCATCAGCTTTTGTCCTGATTCCTGCCGGCATTAAATGTCCACACATCCAGCAGTCACATGTCCGACAGGCCAGCACAGAGACACTATTGTGTTAGCAGCTTGAGTCTTCCCGTTCACATTCGCCTATTTACTCCACAACTGTGACCGGAGGGGTTTACTTGCAATTTTTCTACTGTCCATGCTCTGATTTTAATACGCTTTATGATTAGCCTAATTCAAACTGACTTCTCATTTGTTTCTTTGGCCCAATTAAAGCATGTCATATACAGTAAATGCCCTTAAGACGATCCAGGCAGTGCGCTGACAGACTGCTTATCAGCATGACCATTACTCGTCTCGCTACAGAGACTCGCTCGCCTCGCTCTCTTGCAGTTTTTGGAGACCGAACAGACATCAGGAAATAAAGAGAACTAGACATGTCTATTAACACAGAGAGCAAATACCCCACCTGGTTGGCAAAGGCTATTTACACTCCTGTATAAACTCTGTAAACCGATTTTGTGTGATTGAGCCAGAGTGCTAACCGGATCATTGGAGAGTAAGGCTTCAGGTTTTGACGCGACCAACCCAAGTTCGGATTTCCAAACTCCCTTTTCACCTGATAAAAGTTAAGAAAATATTTGTAAGGGCTTTAAAGGGATAGTTCACTTTGAAAAGAATTTTTGGTATGTTTTAGGGCAACCAAGATGTAGGTGTCTTTGTTTCCGCAGTAGTTTCAATTTTTAATTTTTAGGTCAAACCGTTCTCTGTCAATCATATAATGGAGGTCTATGGTCACCACCTCAAAGAGCATGCACGGAGAAGTCCAAATTAAACACGATTCAATGACTCGTGAATGTAAGTACACATTGATGGCCTAAGACACAAAACAAGCAGTTTGTGTGAGAAAACCAACAGTATTTATATCGTTTTTACCTCACAGCCACGTCCAACTGATCTGAGGGCGCGGGCGCTTTGTGGCTATGATTACAAGTCATACTGTTTGTTTTATCACACAAACTGTTCGTTTCATTTCTTGGGTCATTAAAGTGTACTTACATTCACGAGTCATTAAATCATGTTTAATTTGGACTTCTCTGTGCATGCTCTTTGAGGTGGTGACCATAGACCTCCATTATATGATTGACAGACAAGAACGGTTTGACCTAAAAATGAAAAATTGAAACTACTGTGGAAACAAAGACACCTACATCTTGTTTGACCTAAAACATACCAAAAATTGAACTAATGGGCGTAGACAAGTAATGTCCCAACCCTCAATATGTTTTATAATAGTGTGCAAGGTGCAAAATGCACCATACAACTATTTACACAAAACTACTATTTCTCACTTTATTTGTAAAGCGTGTTGCTGGTTTGAAACAGATTAGCAAATCCAAGTGACTGCTAAAATAGCAGAGAAAA